TTTTTGAGTGAGAGTTTTGGCCATTAAGATTGCATGTACTTTTAGATTTTGACCTTTATTCTGTATCAGCTATGCATAGTAATATAAAGATGTGTGTTTGCCTACCACTTCCAACTTTCTGTAAAATAAACAAGAGTTATTAGAATTGTATAAAATTAAGAAGACCAAGAAAAGGACTGAGACCCTTTTACTAATTTGCAAAAGTTTCAGTGAAATCTTTTTCCTGTATTTTGACCACACAAAAAACATTTGGGAAAACACACACAGCATCCACACATGTGAACCATCATACACACATATATACCATATATACATACACATGTATCTATATACATGAACAATCTCACACACATACATGTACCACACACGTATGCACTTCCATCCACATATGCAAGCAATCATGCACATATACACGTGTTCATACACATGAACAATCATCTACATATACATGATATACACGTACATGTGAGTAAAAGACATTGGGGGTTTGCCTACAGGTTTTTCAGAAAACCATTTTTTAATTTTTAAAATTTGTTTATGTTTTTGATAATTTTATATAGGAGTATTGTATTTATATCATTTCCCTCCCTCCAACTCCTACCTCCACCCAAATTCATGGGCACTCTTTCTTTATTACTAACACACACACACACACACACACACACACACACACGGTCCATTTCAGGTTCCCCATATAAATATATATGTATTTAGGGCTGACAACTTGGGGCTCATCCCTGGGGACAACTGATTCTCCCTCTCCACAGTCATGGATTGCCTGTAGCTCTTCACCCACCCATGGGGCCATGTGAGATACCCATCCCCATTGGCACGTTAGCAACAACATACAGCTCAGATAATTGATTTCTTCTTAACAAGTCACAGAGACTGGGGCAGCATGCAGAGGGCCTGTGCAGGTCTGAGCCAGCTGGGTCCCAAGGCCCCATCCTAACCCAGCTGTCTCCAGTTGCTAACTGCCCACCAAGGAGAAATTCATTTTTGCCCCTGCAGTCTCACTGAATATGCAAATCACACTGAAGGGCAGCAGTGATGGCCAACGCACAAAAACTCAGTGGTATTTTGGGGCATTTTCCATTTCGTAATATTTTGTTTAGCTCTTTTTTAAAACTTATAGGTCTTAGCCGGGCGATGGTGGCACACGCCTTTAATCCCAGCACTCGGGAGGCAGAGGTAGGCGGATCTCTGGGAGTTCGAGACCAGCCTGGTCTACAGAGCTAGTTCCAGGACAGGCTCCAAAGCCACAGAGAAACCCTGTCTCGAAAAACCAAAAAAAAAAAAAAAAAAACCCAAAAAAAAAACCAAAAAACAAAACAAAACTTATAGGTCTTTTGCTTATATATTATAGTTTCCAATTTTGCCTTTATGGCCTTTCTGTGTGTGCAAATGTGTGTCCCTGCACTCTGTTTCTTGTGCTTTTTCTTTGACGCTTCCTCTCCCCTGTTGGTTTATCTGTTTTGTCCTATTGTTTGTTTTATTTTATTAGATGCCTGTTTGTTTTCTAATGAGAGAAATGGGTGTGGAGTTAGGTAGGTGGGGGGTAGGGTGATATGAGAAGACTTGGTGGGGAAGGAAAAACTTGTAATCAGAATATATTATACAGGAAAATCTATTTTCAATAAAAAAGAATAAAAACACCGAGTATGAAGAATTATTTAGTAATAGGTTGTGTGTCCAGTTGACAAATACGAATTGAGGTTTGGAAAACCCAAATAGTGAGGTTCTGCTTCTGCTTCCTCATTATCAACTTCAGCTAAATAGGCATTTTATTAAGTTAATTTTTATTTAGTCATGCTCCCCCACCTATCCCCCACTGTATGGGTAGAATTGACTCCACCAAGCATGTTAGGCAAGTCCTCTACCACTGAGCTACATATCCGGGGCACACAAACATTTCCCCCCTTAATATGTAGTTTTAAATGAGCTCTTTAAAATGCACCTTTTCCATATATTGTATAAATATTTATATAAAAAGAATATGCTTATATAATTTCATAATTTAATGCAGTGAAAGCCTATTCAGCACAGGCTCTGGTCTGTCTGAACGAGCTAAGGGGTTTGCATTCTCAAGGGAAAACGAGAGGCAAAGAATACCATTCCATGTTTGTAGCTGCGGGTTTTCTAACAGCGTGGCAGTGGCTTCGTCACGCTGCATAGCTGCTGCATTGCTGCGTGGTCTCTGCCTGGGGAATCAGGATGCAGATTCTCAAACACGCAGCCCCCTGGATTAAGCCCCTCTATCTTGTCACAGTTATTGTTCTAGGAAGATGTCCAACATTGCTACCCGGAATGTGTTTGACTTTTATGGCGACTTGTTTTTGAGGGTAAGGACCATCAGTCAACCTTCCCAAAGGAAAAGTTTCTTATTCAATAAATATCACGTAGAATTCTTGACAGGTCTGGAACGGTGGAGTTTAGGAAGGGCCTCCAGAAGCAACCTCTGGATGTGGAGGAACTGGCTGCCCAAGGGATCAGCAACACTTGGCTTAATAAGAAAAATACTGGGACACTTCTGGTATTTCGGCTGGATCCTTGGTTAGTATGGAGCCGTGGAACTGAGGAGCCAGAGACCTATCATCCAGCAGATCGAAACTAGCCAAACAGGGGCCTCCCAAGTGGACGGCTCTTTTCTTAACTCAGGTCCAAATGCAAGTTTCAGCCCAGTGTGGAGGCAGGAAGATCAGGAGTTCAAGGCCAGCCTGGGCTACAAGAGACCCTGTTTCATAAAAAATAAGCACATATATAAATAAAAAGTTTCTTACCGGTGTACCTGCTGTGCTGGTGCTTTCTGGTGCTTGGGAAAATGACTTTTTCTCAGGGGCAGGGCCAACACCTTTGCTGGGCTTCTACTCCTTCAGTTGATTTTACACCATTTCATTTATTTATTTTTATCATGCATTCTAGGCATTTTCTCAAGTACCTTCTCCATATTATTTGATTGAGTTTCTTCTATGCTATTCAGGATGCATGTTGCTTCTTACACTGAAGGTTTTACTTGGTTGGTTTTTCACTCTGTTCTAGTCTGCTCTTTGGTATCCTTTTCATCTCATATACCATATTTTGATCATATTCTTTTTTTTCCCCCAACTCTTGCCAGATCCAACTCCATGTTTTCTTTCTCATAAAAAAGAAAAACATAAAGGAAAGAAAGCAACACCAAAATTAAAACAAACAAAAAGAGGTCAAATCAAAACCATCTTAAAGAGAAAATTAAAGATTAGTCTTTCAGAAGATCATGATGGCTAGGAAACTATGACCATTCTTAACCGTTCGTTTGTGTTTGAGAAGTGTCTCATTCCCAGGAATCCTTCTGCCTCAGACTCCAGAGTGCTGGGATTAGAGGTGCGCAGTGCCAGGCCCGGGCTTTCCATGGTTCTTGAGGGCTTAACAGTACATGGAGGCCAGAGAAGCAGAGTCACGCAGTTGGTTGGGAATGTAGCAAGTGCGCACTGAAGGAATGCTGATGACTCCATGCGTGGTGCACTGGCTTGCTCAGACACCGTTGAAAGCTCCACTTGACAGGCGTAAGCCAGTGATGGACTGCATATTTCCCAAGCCACACAGGCTGGGATGACAGACAGCTCTGTTGTGTTGGGGACTCATTTCTCTCCCAAGAATCAACTTGTCATCTTGTTCTGCAAGCCCATAAAGCTGCTCAAAACTCTGACTTTTTATTGTTGGTAAAGGGCACCTCTAGCTAAGACTGGGTCGTGAAGGGTACAGAATACAGAATCCATCCCAACACTCTATGGCATGGACGCAGGCCTAGAGACTCAGTTGACAGTGCCTTTTGTTGGAACATAACAAAAGTGCAGGCCATGGGACAGGCTGACAAGAATTAGAACTATCTAGACCAAAGAGCAGAGCCATCACCAAACCAAAGCACAGCAGGCCCAGAGGGAGGCCACACACCCTTACTCTTGTCCCCACGCTCTTTGAACTCATGCAAGTGCTGTCTGTTGACCAGCTCCAACCACCATGACCCAGCCTTTGGGTCTCCAGAGACCTCTGCACAAGGGAACTGGGGAATGAGCCTGGAAGGGTAGCCTGAGGGTAAGAAGCATGTCAGTGGGTCCTAGATGCTATCCTCCAGCATCTGCTCACTATCGAGCTAACGAGACTCCTCTGCTATTATACTTATAGTCTAGAGCCCCTTCTAGGTCTGTATTGGTGGTGGAATGTGGTGTAGGCCTTATATAGCATGGCTGCTATTTCTATTTTTTATTATTTCTAATTTTCATCATTTTAATTATCATCATTTTTGTCTTTTTGCTAAACTTTGTCCTTAATTCTATGTCCTGACTAGTTTTTTTGTTTGTCTGTTTGTTTAGTGGTGGGCTTTTTGCTTTGAGACAGGGTCTGTCTAAGTAGCCCTACCTAGCTGACCTGGAAAAATCTATGTAGAACCAAATTTCTGAAGGGCATTGGCCGCCATGCCTGGCTGAATAGTTCCTCTTAATCAAGGGTTCCTTACTCTTTAATATCCTAGTCATGTGATCTCCTTGGGTACTGGGGTGGTTTTCAGCATATTTCATCTGTCTTAATTGCCATCTCCAACATTTGCTTCCTGAAATTGGAGCTCCAAGCTCCTGTGGTCACTCTCTGCCTTGAAATAAATACCCAGCATCTTTTCTGGTTCTTCCTCATTCTTTATTTTTTTCATGGTTTCTTCATGATGGTTTGACTTGCTTGTTTCCTATTTCCTTACAATATTATGCATTAAATGGTGTGGTTACGGTAGTCATAAATTGTGTGTGTGTGTGTGTGTGTGTGTGTGTGTGTGTGTGTGTGTGTGTGTGTGTTTGGGAGAGGTGAGATGTGTTTAAGACAGACTTACAGGTTAGCAGGTGAAGTAAAAGTCAGGGTTGGATTCATAACTTGCAGGCCATAATTTTCTTCTCTCTTGGAGAAGATGGCCTAGTTTCTACCTGTTATATGATTCCAACTATTACCTAATTTTTTATTTTTTTCTCTCTGCTCAGATTCGAAGTCAGAGCAAAGCGTCAGACTCTGGCCTGTGTGAGGGGGATGAAGTGGTGTCCATCAATGGCAACCCTTGTGCAGACCTTACCTACCCTGAAGTCATCAAACTTATGGAGAGCATAACGGACTCTCTCCACTTGCTTATCAAAAGGTAAAGCAAATTTGTTGCTTGAAGCTGTGTGGGAATGATTATAGGGTCTAAAAACATATGTACTGTCAGTTATGAGGGAGTTCATGGTTCTACATAGAAAGTCGGGGCAGGCCAGGCGATGGTGGCACTTGCCTTTAATCCCAGCACTTGGGAGGCAGAGGCAAGCAGATGGCGGATCTCTGTGAGTTTGAGGCCGGAATTGTCTACAGAGTGAGTTCCAGGACAGGCTCCAAAGCTACAGAGAAAACCTGTCTTGAAAAGCCAAAAAAAAAAAAGAGAGAGAGAGAGAGAGAGAGAGAGAAAGAAAGGAAGGAAGGAAGACAGGAAGGAAGACAGGAAGAAAGAAAAATGTAGTAATATGAGCAGCGGGGCTGCATCCCCGGCACCCGGCCGCCCCCACGGCTAGCTTTACCCAAAATAATTACACGGAAACTGTATTCTTTTAATCACTGCTTGGCCCATTTCTATCTAGCCTGTTCTAGGCTAATTCTCACATATTAATTTAGCCCATTTCTAATCATCTGTGTTGCGCCCCTAGGTGTGCTTACCGGGAAGATTCTAGCCTATGTCCATCCTGGGTAGGGTCTTCATAGCGTGCGTCTGCCCAGGAGCCGGAGCATGGCGTCTCTCTGAGGCGTCTGCCCCCGAGAGGAGAGCTGTCGAGTCTGAGCTCACTTCCTCTTCCTCCCAGCATTCTGTTCTGTTTACTCCTCCCACCTATCTTCTAACCAATAAAATGGGCCAAGGCAGTTCCTTTATTAGCCAATGACCTTCCTCCGTCAGAAAAGAAAGCCAGGACAGTTAAACAGATCAAACAGATCACCACAGTGTTTGAAAATGAGTAATTCCACTTAATGGGGCTTTCTGGCTAGTTGAGAATTAACTGCAAATACTTATTGCAAATACTTATGTCAAGTCAAGGAGTTTGAAAATCTTAGGTATTTTAGACCACCTTTTTAGAAAGACTGGTGTATTAACCATAACAACAACACCATTTCCAAGGTGAAGAGTTTCTATAAGGTCAGGATTATAATTCTTAGATTTGAAGATGAATTGGAAATAATTGTGCATTGAACTGTTGACCAATATAATATTATTATACAAAGATGCTGCCTTGCGGTGCGAGACAAAAAACTTAAAGGCAAGTTTTCACTGCTCAGGACTCCCAATACGACCATATTTGGGAATGGCAAAGCAGGCTAGATGAAGATTCAGAGCTATCAAAGTATTATTTACAGTGTAGAAGAAACCCCCCCCCAACCACCCTGTGTTATCTAAGTCCATGTGTGCGCCATGTACATATGAGTGCATGTGTGTTGCATATATAAACATTCACTCATCAAGTTCTTAAGATCCCACTTACTTACAATATTGCCTTTTGCTTTTAAAAGTAACCAGTGAAAAATCAAACAAACAACCAAGAGTAACTATTTAAAAACCAACCAACAAAACAAAAACAACAGCAAAAAAAAAAAAAGAAACAAAACAAACAATGTATCAGGAATATTGCCAAGGGAGAATTGTTTCTGTATTAGGCACCATTCTGATGAAGTCTGCTAAAGGTCTGAAGACTTCCAAGCTCCCCGGAGCAAAGAATCCACATACAAATAGGGAATCAACCTTTTCTGCTTTATTCCCCTTCGGTGTTTACTGTCCTTACTGACTTAATGAGGCCAGTTTCTCTGGAACACATTAGTCTGGGACATGTTCTGCTGGTTCCCATTTCCATTGCGATGCTATCGCATGAAAAAATATTTGGTTCAACGCTCAAACCTAGGCACCTACCTCGTTTTAGAGATAAATGGATTTGTTCTCCGCTGCTCCGAATGGCTAGCTCATGTTTTTTTGTTTTTCTCTTAAGTATCTTGAATTTCTATGATGCAGTTAATTGGGCTGGAGAGTTGGAACAATGCTTAGTAACATTTGTTGTCCTTACACAGGACATGGATTAATTCTTAGTACCCACATGGTGGCTCAAAACTGTAGCTCCAGTCCCAGGGGATTAGAGGCCCTCTTCTGACCTTCAAGGGCACTGGGCATAAATGTGGTACACATATATACATGCAGGCAAAAAACACTCACAGGCACATAAAATAGTCAAATAAATCAGTCAGCATTTTAAAGATTCAAATGAAATTTTCATTTTATGAGACCCAAAGCAACAGCACTGTGGACATCTGGACATGTTCCTGAAGCTAAACAGTCCTCAGTCATATCACTGACAGTCAGAGGACCCAAGTGTGACCTTATTAACCTGAAATTTCTGGCTAACACTATTTAAAAACAAAACAAAAACCAGCCTTTTAATACTGAATTTTTATTACCTTAGATGTTATTAAAATCATAAAAAATCAAAAGCAAATGAGTCTCTAATTGTACAAATGGTGAGATTGAGTACCTGTGTGTATGTATCTCCCTCGTATAGCTTTATGATTTTTATTCATGTGTATACATTTACTTTAGCTCCCAAGAAATAGTAGCACTGGGCTGTTTGTCTGAATCCCAATCTCTAAGGCTGGAATGAGTTGAAATTGCTTTCTTCTCAGATGCATAATTGATGAAGTGACTTCAGCTGCCTTCATCCCAAATTCTGCTAGATTAAACCTCTCCGACTTCTGGCACTCCCAAACTCAGTTGCATAGAGCTATTCATCATTTCCTGTATGAGAATGAACTACCTGGATCTGCTAGCTCATGCTTATATTCTCATCTCTCAGGAGGCTGAGACAGGAGGATAGTCATGACTTGAAGCCTAGGCTATGAAGTGAATTCCAGGCCTGTATGGTCTACAGTGTAAAGACCCTGTCGCAAAAAGTGAAAAGAAGACTATCCTAATCTGCTAACAAAATGTTTCAAAAAGTATAATTTTTGTTGGCTTCTGTTTTGTCCTGTTTGTTGTTGGTTTTGGTTTTTCAAGACAGGGTTTTTTTTTCTGTGTAGTCCTGGCTATCCTGAAAAGTGCTCTGTAAGCCAGGTTGGCCTCAAACTCAGAAATCCACCTGACTCTGCCGGCCAAGGGCTGGGATTAAAGGCATGCTGCCACCACCTGGCTTACTTTTATGTTATTTTGTTTTGTTTTTATAATTTTTAAATAGTATACCATTATAAAGTCTTTCAGATGGCTTGTATAGAGAAAGCCACATTTGGTTTGACTTTTGTTGGGTTCTTCTAAATGTAGTCAACATCACAGTTAGACGAAAACATTTTGTCCATTGGTCTGAAATTCCATATCCACATAATTCTAAAGTAACTTCCTTTGAGGAGAAGAGAAGTAGGAGCTCCCCCTTGTGTGACTGATCCCTGCAGCAGTCAGGATGCACTCCCAGGAAGCAAGAAGGGGAAGAGGGCTACTGCCGCCTGAAAACGTTACAAGTAAGAAGTGAGGGAGACTTCTATAGCTGTCCCGAGAACGACATTTCTATTACAAATGGGTTGAGAGCTTGGAGACTTAGCAAGAAATAAATGCAAATATGCAAAACTGCCTACAAGTGGCTGGGTTTTCATCAGAGGAGACTGTGGAATAGCTCTGCTCTCCTTAGGAGCTAAGGAAGCAGTCTGGGGGCAGGGATTCTGTAAGGAAAATGCTGCAAGTGACAACTGCAAAGAGAAGGGACAACATTTCAGATTATAAGTACCACATGACTTAGCAATTTATTGCAGCATGGACAGGATTACTCTTTGCATAGCAGTTTTGGCTGGGGCCTACTATGCTCACCAGAGCTAAGAAATGGACTTCGATTTCATCCTGTTAAGCGTATACCATGTCTAAAATGTATTCATAGTTTAAGGTTGAGCTGATGTTCTGGATGTGTCTGTGTGACTTGGTGATATCTAGGTCAAAACTTACTCCATGGGACACTGAAGTTCCTGGTCATCTACAGCAAACATAGTTTGTTGAGAAAACCCAAACAATTTCAAATGAGGGGCACACACATAGCTCTACCCTGTGCTTTTACAAATAAAGGCTGAATTAAAGATGGGTTTAGGTTTCAAGTTTTTTTGCAAGCATTTTTATTGTGCTTGAAAGACAATTTTATCTTGATTATCTTTAGTTAACCATGTAGAGGAGCCGTCAAATTCTATTTTCTAATACGCTGGAGTTATGGGGGAATTTTTGTTGAACCATGCATGAGACATCATTGGTGTTGGGAAATTCTTTGACAGGTGGAACACAAGCTGATATAACTATTTGGAATTTATTTATTTTTTTGTATGCAGACCATGCAGTGGTACAAGTGAGACTTTGGACTCTGAAACAGAAAACACAAACCATCAGCATCTTACACATGAGGGACCCATGGAAAGTACCACCTTGCAGATTCTTCCAGCCACAAACACCCAGTGCAAAGACTTCTTTCTCGCTTCAGTCCCAAGTAAAGTTCCCCTAACCGAGGACCAAGGAAATGATTGGGGTTATGCAGAATGTACAACGGGAGAAAAAATTCCCCAGATGCTTGGCTCCCAAGAAGAACACTTGGTAGAGGAGGTCATCTTAAGGGAAAAGGCAGAAGAAGGCCAACCGGGCCGTGTGGTTGAGCTCCAACTGTCCCTCTCAAAGGAAAGACATCAGTATGCTAGTGGCCCTATAGTGACTCTCCAGGGAAATGAGAATTCCAAGTCTTCTGACCCAGACTGGAGCTCACAACAGGAGAGGACCGTCCACATCAATTCGGTCGCTGATCCTGAGGAGGAAGCAGACTCTTCTCTCCTGCCCAGCACAACAAGCCAGACCTCCAGCGGCCAGCAGCTGAGCCTGATCCAAGGGAGAGAAGCAGGAGGCCCAGGGCTGCCCCAGGTGGAAGTGATTCTGGACTGCTCTGACAGGCAGAAGGCGGAGGAGTGCAGGCTGCAGGCAGGAAAGGGGTGTGTGGCTTCTGGGGTGGAAGGAGGGCGGTCAGAAGCACCTCCTTCTCTGGTCTCCTTTGCCGTCTCACCAGAAGGCACCGAGCAGGGGGAAGATCAACGCCCGGGAAAGGATCACAGCAGACCACACAAACACAGGGCGCGACATGCTCGTAAGTCCTGCCGTGGGTGGGGGCCGCTGTCTGGGGAGCTGGGCTTTTAAAATATTTTGCTAGTTGAACTGCATGAATTTTTTTAAAAAAGATTTTTTTCTTAGACCTTTTTACCATCTTTAATGCTTCAATTAATGCATAAAATATCAAATCTGAATAGTGTGGAAAATGCCAGTTTCGGAATTGGAAGCGGTAAATTTGAAATTCATATTAGATCGAAATGTTTTTCATAAACATTTATTTTTATTCCCAAAGATGCAGGAACTGTTAAAGAAATACACAACATGCCTCTTTTATCTGCTGAAGAGTGTTATGACATTTCATGTTTAAAATATTCTTAAGGGTATTGGAAGTTAAGTGGACTCAGTTTAAATGACAAAAACAGTTCTGTCTTCTTCTGAAGTACCTTTAACGCAGGTTCCACTCTGATATTAAAAGCAGAGCTTCATTTTGGGGGAAAAAAAAAAAGAAGTATTCTGCGGCTTGATGATGCTTGCAGAAGTGTTTGATGGACAGGGGCATGTGTGATGCCCAGCGGTTAGGTTACATGATCCTTGCTGTGGAGTAAGCTTCACTAGGTGGCGGTGCGCGTCACCTTCCAGGCTCGGTCTCCAGAACCATGGGCAGACAGACAGCTCAGGGTTCCCCCCACAGAAAATGTGGCTTAATGCAAGGCCTCTGCCGGATTTTGTTTTATCTGGGTTACTAGGGTCACAAATAGAACGAGGTCAAGAATGGCAACTAAGTGCTCCTATTTTTTTTTCTTTTGGACATATAGTTCTTTCCCCTAAGTTTTACCGACTTTGGGTTTTCTTTGAGGGTACAAGGCTGACGGTACCCACCAGCAGTGAGCTTGGTTTCCCAAAGTCATGCATTAGCTTTCGAGCCCTTGTTGTTCCTTTGGGTGCATATTTTTAGCACAGGCATTTGTAGCTGTGTTGGCATGTGCCAGTGGCCGCGCCCTCTCCTTTAGGCACCCTCACATATATAGCATATTAGCCCCAGTGCTATGACAGCATGCGCATAGTTCACAAGCTGGCAGCGAGAAGACACTGTGCAGTTGTTACTGTCAGTTTAATAATAAGCTGTAACATCACTAGTCAAAAAGGAATCACATTTAATAATGACCACGTTTTAAACTATTTGGTCTGCACAAAATTGGATCACCAGAAAAATACCTGTAAGATTACTCCAAAATTAGTTTCTTTCATTCCATTTTTTTTTGATTTACCAAGTCTGACTTTTAACAACGAAAATTAATTTCAATCATGAAATATCTTATTCTTCTGGTATTTTTATTTAACTCATTACAAAATTTATTTGTGAATCATGCTCGTTAAAAGTGGTTACAATTAATTGATGCTATAAATTCATTTGTCATTAGTTTTTTTCTAACAGTAAAATGAAAATGTAAAGTTTATCATTTTAAAACTGCCAAGTTATTTTTTATGGCATAATTGTTGGATCACTTTCAATGTCAGTTTAAAAGACCTCAAGTCATACAATTTTTAAACATCCCCAAGCTTTGTACTCATTCTTTCTGCATCTTAAGCAGCATTGTATTTTCAGGAGACTGTTACAGTTATAGAATTCTGTAGATAGTGTTGAACCTAGAGCTTATTACAGATTTTCACAATGTTCCAGCACTCTAAAATACAACTAATTATTAGCTCGGTGCTGTCAATTATTATTAATTCACTATTGTGAATTTATATTAATTCAGCAGCCCAATGGAAAGATTTGAAGTGACCCTCAAAGGAAAAAAGAAGAAACTTAAATATTTAAATGCATTGCATCGAAGCAATTCAGTTTTGACATTTTTTCTTTTAGATATGTCAGTACAAAGTACATCTTGTTTTCAAGTTCCTAAAGGATATTCTTTTTAATGCAATCATATCCTATTAACTGGAACTTCCCAACCTATTTTTCTTTTTAATTAAAGTTTAAGAAGCCACGGGAGTGGGGGGCTCTGAGTTGTGTTATAAATCAGCATATATAAAGCTGTGCTTGGGTGAGGAAATGGAACAAGATATGCTGGGCTCTATGTTACTATTATGTAAGTGCAAATCTGAAAAGCAGTGAAGAGTGTGTGGTTCAGTGCTTGATTCTGTGCACTCCCCAAACACCGTGGACAGGGGTAGAATGAATGAAAACGAGTTAGATTTCTTTAAATTTCAGTACCCAATTATATGAATTTTTTGTATATATTCATTTTCCCCATTGGGAATCAATTGCAATGCATTAGTCCTTGCATTCATCAATTGAATACAATCTGTGTATTTTTCCTAGGGCTCAGGAGGAGCGAAAGTCTGTCTGAGAAGCAAGTGAAAGAAGCTAAGTCTAAATGCAAAAGCATCGCTCTTCTTCTAACGGATGCTCCCAACCCCAACTCCAAGGGGGTGTTGATGTTTAAGAAGCGGAGGCGGAGGGCCCGGAAGTACACCCTAATCAGTTACGGTACTGGCGAGCTTGAAAGAGAGGAGGAGGAGGAGGACCAGGAGGAAGGTGACAAGGACGAGATAAGTGAAGTCGCATTTCTTGGAACGAGCGAGTCAGAAGTGGATGAAGAGTTACTGTCGGACATTGACGACGACACACAAGTTGTGAACTTCGACTGGGATTCTGGACTGGTGGACATTGAAAAGAAACTGAGCCGAGGGGACAAGATGGAGATGCTGCCAGACACCACAGGCAAGGGGGCGCTCATGTTTGCTAAGCAGAGAGAGAGGATGGAACAGTTCGCCGCCCAAAACGAAGAGGAGAAGGCGGGTACACTGCCAGGCAGAGAACCAGACGGGCTGCAGACGGACGGTCTGAGAACCGTGACTTCTTATAAAAGGAAGGAAGAGGAATCCGTGAGAATGCAGAGCTCTGTGAGTGAAAGCTCCATCCAGATGGGCTGTAGTCTTGGCAATGTGCCACAACAGAATGGCTTCAGTGGCATTTCTGAGACAACAGGGGCCCAGAGGATGATCCCTATGAATAGAACCGCCAAGCCGTTCCTGGGAACTATGAACCAGCCAACAGCACCCTTCTCCCCAACCCGGAGTGTGACTAGCCCCATGTCCGACTTTCCTGCCCCACCACCTTACTCTGCCGTCTCACCTCCACCTGAAGCCTTCTCCAGAGGGGTAGCAAGTCCAATCACTGGCCCAGCACAGCCCCCGCCATGGCCCCAGCCTGCTCCATGGTCACAGCCAGCGTTCTACGATTCTTCTGAGCAAATAGCTTCCCGGGACGAGAGGATCGCAGTGCCGGCGAAAAGAACAGGCATACTGCAGGAAGCCAGAAGGCGAGGCACAACAAAACCCATGTTTACGTTCAAAGAAACCAAAGTGAGCCCCAACCCTGAGCTCCTGTCACTTCTTCAAAATGCAGAAGGTAAGCGAGGCACTGGAGCTGGAGGGGACTCGGGGCCGGAAGAAGACTATCTCAGCTTAGGCGCAGAGGCTTGTAACTTCATGCAAAGTTCTGCTAAGCAGAAGACCCCACCTCCCGTCGCTCCAAAGCCTGCAGTCAAGTCATCCTCCTCACAACCAGTAACCCCAGTTTCTCCAGTCTGGTCTCCAGGAGTGGCTCCATCCCAGCGTCCTGTCTTCTCCACATCAAACCTACCGAACCCACCACAGGTCACAGCTGTGTCCTCCATCAAAATAGCCCAGCCTTCCTGCCCTCCTGCCCGGCCTGCGAGCTCACTGAACCTGGCCGGTCCCTTCAAAGGACCCCAAGCAGCAGTTGTCAGTCAAAACTACACACCCAAGCTATCGGCACCCACACCGCAAGTAAATGCTGCTCACGCTGGTGCCGGGGGACCATCCAATGAGCTTCCTGGAATGAGCGGGAAAGGAGCCCAGCTGTTTGCTAAAAGGCAGTCAAGGATGGAGAAGTACGTGGTAGATTCCGACACGGTGCAGGCCCACGCAGTTCGGGCCCAGTCTCCTACACCGTCCCTGCCAGCCAGCTGGAAGTACTCCTCGAATGTACGAGCACCCCCTCCTATGGCCTACAATCCGATCCATTCCCCCTCATACCCACTGGCTGCTATCAAGTCTCAGCCACCTACCGCCCAGGCCTCCAAAACAAGCAAGAAAAAGGGCAAGAAACCGCTTAACACTTTGGATGTCATGAAGCATCAACCGTATCAGCTCAACGCCTCTCTGTTTACCTTTCAACCTCCTGATGCAAAGGATAGCCTCCCTCAAAAGTCAACGGTCAAGGTCACTTCAGGCCCAGCCCTGAAGCATGCCCTTCCTCCCAGACAGGTGAACGTTGGCTCTCCCACCAATGCGCAGGCTTCGTCTGTGTACTCAGTACCGGCTTATCCCTCTCAGCCGTCCTTCTTCGCGGAGCCCACCTCGCCTGTGAGCGCATCCCCAGTTCCTGTGAGTGTTCCCACCTCGCCGAAGCAAGAATCGGCTTCCTCGTCCTATTTTGTGGCACCAAGACCGAAGTTCTCAGCCAAGAAAAGCGGTGTCACAGTCCAGGTGTGGAAACCATCGGTTGCGGAAGAGTGATCTCATAGCTGAAGCTGAGTGTCCGCTTTGCTTGAAATGAATTGTTTGCAGTGTTGAGTCCCCAAGAAAGCTTAGCCGATCCTCAACTTACGTAATTTCAGATACCTTACCTCCCAGTCTGGGTCCAAGAAGCATAATAATATGGTTTTGGGTCAAAACCCCAACTCAGTGTGACTTAAAATATATTTATTTTCTTTGCACACTTACATCTATCTGTGATATCCCAAAATAGGCATGTGCCATTACATCAAGTAAGCAGGATACTTAGGTAATTTTAAGCTTTAGCCAAAGACAGCAATCAGTGTATCCAAGCTTGGAAACCCAGCCTTTATGTAACATAGCTGTGCTCCCCTAGTGGAAGGGCTCAAAAGGGTGAAAATACAGCATGCTGGCTGAGATTCCCCTCAAGTCATTCTTTAGTCCTATTTCTGGTGTTAAGGAAATAGGAAATCTCTGGAGGGCAGGAATCAGCTCTGGCCAGTCACCTCAGATACCTGTTCTACCGCAGAGAAGGAACTCAAGAGACTTGTTGAGATTTGTGTAACTTAGCAATAGCTTGCAAGGAGGTTCTTAGACACAGGCATTTACTCAGTATTGGGCCCCTTACTAGCTGTTCTCACACACTTTACTCACTTCAGAAGATTTATATAAAGTAATTAGGACAGGGCGAGAAACCTCGTTATCCTTAGAAATGGCTTTCCGCGGTCCTTGCCCAGTTCCTTGGGGAGCTGTGAGGGTATCTCCCATTGCCCATGATAGCACGTGTTTGTTTTCCTCAGCTGAGGCAAAGGGGGAGCACAGTAGGGTGAAGGAACATCAAAAGGAGGATGGACAGAAAGTCACACACTTGCTTTGAGAAGCCACCTAACTGGGACTGGGAGAGTTACTGACCACAGGAGCTGGTGCGTGAAGACAAAGCAAGAACCGTTGAGAGCCTGTCCGGGTGACCTCATAGACTTTCTTCTCCTGTTCAGCTTGCTCTTGACCCATGCTTCCTCTACTGTCCCTTGCAATTCTATTCTTGCACCTTTATTTTCTTACTTGCATTTGATGAGCCAGCATAGTTTTGAGCAAGGTTACCTTGTGAATTTGGATTGGTTACACACCATGTTGTCATCCAGCTGGCGACGAGGTTAATAATGGCCCCGATCGCAAACCTGAAGACCTTTCTCGTGTCTATTTTAAGTCTGGGCGCATCCAACCATGGAAACTATTCATTGTGAGTTCATGGAGAGGAGTAGAAAGCAGTTTTGACAGCTCCAGGGAAAACGGTCTGCTGTGGGCAGGGCATGGATGTGTCTAGAGATTTCATGTAAAGACTTTCATGGTTTGAGAGAACACAGTAGCACTCCAGTCTCAAGATACCTGTATTCCTGCCTTCCTCTGTCACCGCCTTTCTGCTGTATTCCACTATCCTATTAAACTATTACCTTCTTTATCTGCTCCTTGTATTCCTTACAAGCTTTGCATATGACTTTGCTCTAACCTTAATCATCTCCCTAAGGTTTCTCTTACAGCATCTGAATTTCCCTTTGGAGAGTACCCATTTCTTTTTGGGAGCATCCGTTGTCAAACTGTTAGTTTTAGGTATTTGCAAAATGTAGGGAGGAGTAGGTCAGCTGCTGAGCGGTGGAACTCGCTGTCCCGCTTCTCTCTAGAAAACCACCTGTTGTGTTTGCTGGCGATGCAACTACCGGGAGTGATTTGGTCTGTTTGCCTGTATGGAAATCAATTAGTAAGACTCTTGACGAAGACCAACCCCTTAGACGACAGTGTGTTTGTGTTACTCATTGCCTGTATAGGCAGCTCATTGAATGGCATGAATTTTTTTATCTTATGGAACAACCAAAAATCGCTTAGCATGAGTTAGAAGAAAGACCTAGAACTTATGGGTGCTCTACCTGACGGCTGACAGGTAGTTAATTTGAAATCCTTGGCTCCAAAGAGCTCTTGCTCGTAGTGACCCCAAAGTGTCCACAGTTCTGCAGTGGTTTATGGTGTTCAGTAATAACATGTGTCCTGACTGTGCTTCCTGTTGACCAGCGATCTTGGCACAGCCACGAGCTGCAGTCCAAAACCAAAGGCACAGCTACCATGGCTATGCTGTCGTCTTCTCTGGAGACCCCTTGTGGGTTTAGAAACCCCTCTAAGAGACATGCCAAACATACAGACTCAGTATCGACAGTTTTTCCAGGTGGCCCAGGACCACAGGGTCAAGGGGTGGAAGTTAGATGAACTCACCAAAGACCAGTGTGGAAAGAAGGCCAAACCAACTCCCTGAGGAAGATGGGCTTCCTCCTCTTCTCCCTCCTCCAAGGAGCTCTGCGAGCCCCCGCCCCTGTGTTGGAGTTATGACAAAGATGTCAGTGTGGAAGGTAGGAGGTTAGAACTCTGGGTTCTAATCACTGCTGCACCCACCTTCAAATCTGGGTCCTGGCTTTGCTTGGGTGGAGGTTTTTGGGTCAGCTGGTTGGCTGGGTGGGGAGTCTGGAAAAGCGGTTTCCTTTTTTTCTTTCCTTTTTGTTTCCTTGTTGGTTGGTTTTGTTTTGCTTTGCTTGCTCCTCCACTCTTCAGGAAGTCAATTTTTGTTGTCAATGACAGCGATGACGGATCCCTGAGCACGCCTTGTACTGGGTTCCTGAAGAACTGTACCCAGAGGGACCCGCTGCCTGTTTATTCACTGAGAGGTACCACTGATTGGCTGAAGGGCTATGCTAAATTCTTCTTCTGAGAGTGGTGCTGGGGGAAGTGCGTACAATGTGGAAGATTCTAAAAGGAAGGCAGAGAGCATACAAATACAAGCACAGCGTTGCCCCACGTTCTGGAGGGAGTGCACTGACACCTGAACCCAAGAGCACTCACTGGCCTTTGATACCTCGATAATATGTGTGTTTTTTAATACTTCGCTATTAAGCGTGCCTGGTGTGGAGAAGGGGCGACACACCGCCTGTGTATTTAGGCTATCCACTGACACATTGTTAGAACTAGTTTTTATAATGTACATTTGAGTGACCGCTCTCGCACATGGAAAATGGCACTATCTACAAGGATTGTTGACGATGACACCCACCACCATCTTATTTAATATGCATAAGAAGCAACTGGTTTTCAGGCACATGAACCCTGTCTAAGCTCCAAATAGTTACTTAACATAAGCTGGCATCTTTTAGTCTAGAACGGTGTTCTCAGCCTTCCTAATCCTGCACCCCTTTAGCACAGTCCCTCATGTTGTGCTGACCCCTGACCATTACGTTATTTTGTTGATATTTCATCACTGTAACTTTGCTACCGTTATGAATCATGATGTCCATATTTGATATGCAGGAGATGTGGAACCGTCATTCAGCACCCAAAGGGGTCTCGGCCCACTGGCTAAAAATGCTGTCTTAGTTGGTGCTGACCTCTGTCAGTGTAGAACAGCTGCGGTTTATCCCACAGCCTATATGCTAGCATCCGTTAGTCACATCTGGGACACAAAAAACAAAATCCTCTTCAAGAGATGCACGAACAGAAGAGACAAACGAACATATCAGACAGCTCTCCCAACTGCAGTCACTGTGACAGAGGACACCAAGGGTCCTTGTTACAAACCTCTCTGGGGCATGTCCAGTCATGCCTGTTCAGAGCGCCGGACTCGGGGTTGTCAGTACCTACTGGGTGTCACCTCAGTTACTTAGAGCAGAACCCACAATGCCCCCAGCAGCCGTCAGGAAGGGTGTTTGAAATCAGTCATCAGCCAAGCGCCTGTTTTCTCAAATGCTCAATCCTGGACATGCTTTCGGAAGGAAATATGGAGGACACATTCAACTCTTGAAATCAGAGTTGTTGAGTTTGTTTTTTAAAGTTTAAACACCACACACACACACATACATACACACATATCATGAGAAAAGTATGTGAATTCCAACAACCAATATTCCCAGAAACACTGACCTTCTCCGGTCTTGTGTCCCATATTTCTGGACTCTGGGGGACACAAAGACCTTTGTGAGCACTTCAAAGCTGCTGGAGGAGTCGACAAGCATTCTGGGAAAATGCCAAGTGAAATTCTTCTCTTGACTTCCTACCAGGGTTGGCCTCGAGCCACAAAGCAGACCAGTAAATTCCCACAGGGCCCTGACACCACTTATCCCCCTGTGAGCGCCATCTTCCACAGGACCACTGAGACATAACTGGTTCCTTGACGTGATCAGGTGAAGCCTGTTTCCAAAATTATTAAAGTGTGTGCCCATGTGATATGCGCTAGCAATCTAGCACTCGGCACCCAGAAATCAAAGATCTACTCAGAGGCAACTGGATGAAGAGAATTTTAATTTTAACACTGTCAAATCTGGGGTTAGGGGTGTCTCTCAGGTATGCAGAGATAGGTTCCCAGGTTCAATCCCCCAGATCACTGTGAGGAAAAACAGTCAAGTCCTATCAGACACTTATTAGATAACTGATTTTATCAGAAGTTTGGGAGCTAACAGGGTACAATCAAGACTCAGAGGGTGGCTTCTGCTGGACCCTATAAATGACTTTTCTCATTATGGGCACACACATCAGTTTTTGCTTTTATTCTTCACTGTTTTTTTCCATGTAAAGATCCTTGTGGGGGTCTTTGTTTATCTCATTCTTGCTGCTATAAGGTTGGTCAGAGTCCCGAAGCCAACTCTCCCGAGACCTGCCCTTCAGCCTTCCTCTGCTGATGGGAACACTCAGAGATGTCCCAGCACACTGCAAAGATCTGATCCCTGGGTTCCCGCCTTCTCAGCTTCATAGGAAACGTCCCTGGTATGTTCCTGAGAGACAGTCTAAAGGCCAAGGGCTGCAGTTGGCCATGCATGGGAAAGAAATGCGCCTTGTAGGAATAAACAGGAAAATCTTCCTCTCGGAAGTCGACGTCAAAGAGTACAGGGTTGTCTCTTGTTACACTTGGGGAGGGAGCGGTATTTTCACACACCAGGAAATCAAGACTCTTGGTTATATCA